TTTAGAGAATATTTTATTGGATGAAACTGGAATGCCATGGAAATTAATTGGGGCAAAATTAGATGATTTTAATGATCATAAATTTAAAAATAAATCTTGTAGGTAAAAAAATCAAAGACATTCTTGAATATCAAAAAAAAATTTATATTAAAACTCCAAAAAAAAAAACACTGTATTAATCGTGTGTTTGTAAAAAAAAAAAACAATTATTCAATATAGCAACAAGCTCGGTAATTCAAGATGATTTAGGGATGTCATTAAGTTGTTTATCATCTCTAAAACGAAAATGTGAAGATGAAAATCAACAAAATTTCAAATCTTTAAAGGTTTCAAATTCTTTATCTTTGAAATTGGCAAGAAGTCTTTCCTTTTCAGAAGATGATAAAATAAATGAAGAAAACGAAACAGCAATATCTTCATCATCGAACATTATTATCGATGAACCACAACAAACTTCTTATCCCAGCTCTTTATTTATCCCTTCTAATATTTCATTACCACGTCATCACCACCATCACCACCATCATAATCATCATCAACAACGTCATATTAAAAAACATACAGTTCATTTACTTCATAATAAGAACACCACTTTAGACATGGATGTTATTACTGATAATAATCATAATCATAACTATCACAGCGATCACGAAGATAATAAATTAATCCATGAACCAGCCAGACTTCAATTGTTGCGTCGTATAATATCATATCACAATGATAACGACCATGAGAGTAATTGGTGTCGTTCGTCTACCAGAACAACAACAAATTGGTTCGAATTACAAGCAATAAAAAAAAACATGACTATACAGGATTTTCAAATGCAATTTCAACAACGAATAAATGATATGGAAACATCTTTATTCGTTCTTCACAATTCCCTTCCACGCTGTTATAATGAAATCTTGCATTTAACTGACAGATTTTTGATTAACGCTGATTGGATAAGGTGTGATTATTTTAAACCGTTCATAGTAAGTCGATTATGATAATAGACGACGAATTATTTATGTTATAAATAAATAAATTAATATATATTATTAATTGATTTATTTGATGTTTATTAGCAAATGTTTCCTCAATGGTCAACGTTGGGAAAAGGGTTTGAAAATATAGTACAATATGTTGAAATTGTTGAAGACATGAAAATAACAGTCGAATCAGAATTTCCTCAATTAAGTGAAGACATATCGTCAAATTTGAATCAAATCCAAGAAGTCTTGGAATTTAAAAGATCTTTATATGGAGATGTTATAAAACAATCAGGATTGAGTTGGAAGGCATTAGGATTTCCAATTGATGAGAATTGGTCTAATTCAACTAAACAATGGTTGTTAGGATTAGCTTTCCACTGTTCAGAAATAATGAATAATGAATTGAACAAAGAACAACTACATCAATTGTTAATTAGTAATGATACACAAGTTACAAAGGTACTATATACTTTATTTATTTATGATTATAATTATTATGTTTTAATTATTTATTTATTCATTTTATTTGTTTTTTTTTTCAAAAAAATAGGTGATGGAAGATATTATGAATTGTATCAAAATAATTGGTAATGCAGTAGAATTAGTTGGCTCAACAAATACGAAATTATTATTATCCAGTATCATGCTAGCAACTTCATATGTCAATTTGGGATTGTCACAAATTGATAAAATGGAGAGTAAAGTACGCAGTGTGGAAATTAGAATGATGCATATTTGTGAGAATATTAGTCATTTATTATGTTATTTACGAATAATTCAAGATATGGATGAACAATATTTTGATCCCGTCAAAAAGCAAAAAAAGATAACTAATAATAATAACATTATCATGAACGAACAACATCAACATCAACACACTTATAATTTCACAGATTTTGAAAAAAATTATCTAAAAATTATTGAAAATTTTGCATCTGCGTTAGTAGAGACAGGATTAAAATTATGCGAACATATCACTAGACCAAAAACAAATACTATCACAGGAAGTGAGAACTTTGTTTATATGTATTCAGAATTTGTATTAAAGTTCGTTAGTAGGGTAAATATAGATATAATGCATTTATTTATTTCAAAATTTAAGGAATTAGGTATAACGTTTATATTTCTTTCCTCTATAATGAATAGGTTATTGAATATTTTGGAACAGAAAAAGAATTTGAAATAAGAATGCATCCTTTACTTGCTAGTTTAAAGAAAAAATGAAATCATAAAATCTTTTAGAAAAAAACAATTTAATTTAGACGTTAGATATATCTTAGATATATATATATATATATACTCAAATTTATATAATTTTTTTTATTACAGCAAAATCATTAATTAGTAATAGTAAAATAATTAATAAAAAATAGCTTTTTTAATCTTTAATCAACAATTATAACAATTATTAATAAATGAATTTACTAGAGTTGAGCCTTTGGATGAATTATTTTGACCAATAACTCGCTAGGAACCAGTTGCACAACTGATCAATTAGATCAAATCTTTTTAGTGATGAAAACTACTATCACAAGTTAAGAAGTAATAAAAAACTCTTCCTGAAATTTAGAACAGAAACCGACGTTTTCACATACGATAAGAGAAAGGAGCATGGTTTGTATGAAAAAGCTTTGGTGAGTGGGAATTGAGAACCCTTAGCTGTGTGCAGAGATAGTGAAATTTATATATTATTGGACTTTCATATTTATTTTATCTTATATTTATTGGCCATATCACAATCTGTGTTTGAAATTGCACACTTGCAATATTATTGAAAATTACATATAGATGGAAATTAAAATTTTTAAATTCAGCAAAATGTCATCATTGGAAAATTTAAAATTGTTAACTAAATAACCTCCACCATTAAATATCTATGTACAGTCAAACCTTTGTTTCAACAAACTTTGTTTCAATGAATTTTTGTTTTGGCCTTTTTTTTTAAATTATAGTTACAACATTCACAACAGGAAAAAGAATGAGATTTTTTAATTTTGCTTGATATGAATTTGGTTCAATTTTAAGCCATTTATCAGGCTCTTTCAATGTGTCACTAACTTGACCTGTACAATTCCATATTTTTTGTGCTTTTTTTGGTTGGGGTTTAGTTTGTTTTAATAAAGATAACCTGGATTTTTGCTCAGCAGTGATATATACACATTTTTTAATGGATGATGATGATGATTGTTGTTGGGAGAAAATTTTTAATTGTGTAGGATTGTAAGAATTTGATAAAAGAAAAATTCATCTTTATTTATACATATTTTTTTGGAATGATTTATTGTTCATGTTACTGTAAAGTCTCAGACCCTGTTTTACAACTGTGTAACAAATGCTTTTTAAAGTAGGTGCTATCTTTTTGAGACTTTATGTATTATCATTTTATTTGAAATTGGATAAAATGCTTATTTTTTTTGGCATCCATCTTTTTATTATTTGGATAAAATGTTTTTTAAAAATTTTATTATTGTTGTTGCTTTCATCTTTTATTATTATTTGGAAATTAACAAATTTTCTCTACAGAATTTTGGTGGTCTGTACCATGGATTTGTTAAAACAAGGTTTGACTGTATAGAGACCCAAATTCATGTGGCAGGCAACAAACATTAAATTATGCATGCAACACTTGGTAGATTACGCAAATTATGCACCCTTTATTAAAAAATTATTTTTATAATAAAATTTATAATCTTATATTGTGAGATAGTAAAATAAGGACCGATATAGAGGTCCCGCGTTGCCGATCCAACCAAACCAAATTACTGCGGAAGTCACGTGAAAATGATATCATTTCTATTTTTATTTTCAATATTATATTTTGTAAAACTACTGCGCCGCACATTGCGTAGTATCACACGTAAATTACTCATATTCATATTTCTATATTTATATTTCAAGAACTTGTTCAGCTGATGTAAATATTTACTTTTAATTATTAATTGATGATCTGTGAATAAATGAGAGAGTTGTCGATCAAAAAATGAAATCCACAAATTCCCATTACACAGAACTAAGGTTGTGGGCGAAACCTCCTTAGTAATTGCTGAAACCATGGCAAAACTATATTAAATCTTATCAAAAATCCTGTTGAAACTATGCTGAAATGGTGAAACCTCAAAATGCAAAACTCTGTCGAAACTCTAATAAACAATTAATGTGTAACCTGCTGAAACCCTGCTGGTTAATTTCTGGAGGAGTTTTGGCAAGCAACCTTACTCTCCTCTTCAAGGAACAGATTATCAGTGAACTTTGAGAGTTCTATTGGCAAATTTCTTAATTTTGGGCTCGGTGGCAATGGCGAAGTATATCTATCTGACTGGTGATTCTGTTTTCTTTTCTTCCTGGCATTGTATTCAACATTTGCAAAGTCAGACAAAGCTTCAGATGCTTTATTATGTTCTTCTATGGTCTCATTCAATATATTTCTAGATCTTTCATTCTACATGAAACGAATGTTTATTTGCATTTAGTGATAACATTAAATTTATGAGTTTGAAAGTAAACCTTACCATAAGTAAATGTTTATCTGCTTATTGTATGAGAAATAAAAAGAAAGAGACTTGGAATTAAGCTTAATCTTAAATGTGGATAAAGATTGAATACCAACAATTCTTTTTGCCTCTATGTCTCTAATCCTTGCAGAAACCTCAGCATCTTTTATGTTCGCATTTCTAACCCAAAAATCATCGATATACCCACCAGTCTTTATACCTTCCTACAACAATTAAGTTTTATTTTATACCAATGTAAGCCCACACCATAATAATCAGGCAAAACTTTTACACAGTGAGTCTCGGTATAGCAGACCTCGGTATAGTGGATTTGAGGTTTAGCGGATAAATTTTCAAAACCAAATTTTTCTATAATTATTTTATCTTGGTTTAACGGATTTAATGGATTTTTCATATAACAGTAGTCGTGTGACATTTCCCTGAGGCTGCTTTTCTATATGTGAAAATAAATTTTAAATTCGTATCACATGAATTTTTTTTTAAAATATCTCGTTATTTTTATAATAAACACGAAATTTGTTGTTAGAGTAAAATGAAAGTACCCCAATAAAGCTTTCTAATGAATACTTTTTCATATAGAAAGGTCTTCTCTACATGAATTCACGGCTATTCAAAAACAGTATTACTTTTTCACTTCAAACCTCAGATTATTTCTCAATATCGCTTTAAAAGACTTGATAGTAAATGAGAAGGTGT